ATCCTGCTGTCAGATACCAGGGTATGGAACTGACCACAGAACCAGCTGCGTGATTTGCAGGGCTCAGCACAAAGTAAAAATGCAAGGCCTCTTGTTCAAAAATTATTAAGAATTTCAAGGTGATAACGGGAGATATGAAAGCAAGTCTGGAACCCTTCTAGGTTCAGGGCCTTGTGCATTGGCACAGGATGCTTGCTGGTGAAGCCAGCCCTGACTGACCGTATCACATAACTCCTAGATGACCCACTTTCATCTTTTCTTCCAAATAGCATTTGAGGCTTCTTTACAGGGCACTTTCATCTACTCAGCAAAACCTATTATTATCAAGACAGACACTATTTGTTGCAAACCCACAGCTTCCAGGTCTTGCCTGCTAGCAAATGGCTAGTTTGTCTATATATACTTTGACTGTGGATGGACAAGAGCGGAAGTCAGGAAGCCAGTTAGGACATTATAAACTAGGTAAGATATTATGGCTTGGCCCAAGGAAGAAGTGGAGGTGTGAAAAGTGGTCACGTTCTAGATGTAACGTCATGGTAGATCCAACAGGATTTACTGATGGATTGAATGTGGTGTAAAGGGAAAGAAGACACAAGGATAACATCGAGGTTTTGGCTTAAACGGTTGGCAGATAGAGAGTTCTTACCAGCTAAAATGGGGAGGATTCCAGAAGAAACAGATTTCAGGGAAAATTTGGAAAATTAATTTCAGACATACCATGTTTGAGAAGCTTGCACTGAATTTATAGTTCAGAAGTGAGATAAGAGCTGGAAATAAACTTGGAAGTCGTCAGCATAGAAATGGCTTTTAAGCCATGGGACTGGATAAGATTCTCTAAAAAGTGAGCATGTAAAGAGGAGCGAACAGGGTCTAAGTCGTAGGAGGTCAGGTAACTAGGCAGCAGCAAAGGAGACTAAGAAGGAACAGGCAAGTGCAGCAGGAGAGTGCTGCATTCCAGTGTGTCTAAGAAAGAACCATCACTTCAGCGGGTGTGCAAGAAGGTGAGGACAGGGTGTTGATCACTGGATTTAATAACACGTAGGTTATTGGTGAACTTCACAAGAGACGTGTCCATGGAGTACTGGGGAAAAAACACAATTGTGGTGCAGGAAGAAAAAATAGAAAGAGGAGCTAGGGAAAGAAATTATGGTCAAAATTATCAAAACAAATTATGAAAATATAAAATATGCTGTTTTGTGCTGATTCTTGTCTGAATGATTAAATAAATGCCTTGGAATGGGAACTTCTGGGTGGCTGCAACTAGGCTGTGTTTTTAAAATTTATTTATTTATTTATTTATTTTTGGCTGTGTTGGGTCTTAGTTGCTGCACGTGGGCTTTCTCTAACTGTGGTGAGTGGGGGCTACTCTTCGTTGAGGTGTGCGGGCTTCTCATTGCAGTGGCTTCTCTTGTCGCGGAGCATGGGCTCTAGGCGCGCGGGCTTCAGTAGTTGTGACTCACGGGCTTTAGAGCGCAGGCTCAGTAGTTGTGGCACACGGGCTTAGTTGTTCCACGGCATGTGGGATCCTCCTGGGCCAGGGCTCAAACCCGTGTCCCCTACATTGGCAGGTGGATTCTTAACCACTGTGCCACCAGGGAAGTCCCTAGGCTGTGTTTTGTTTTGGGGGTTTTTTGGGGTTTTTTTTGCGGTACGCAGGCCTCTCACTGTTTGTGGCCTCTCCTGTTGCGGAGCACAGGCTCCGGACGCGCAGGCTCAGCGGCCATGGCTCACGGGCCCAGCCGCTCCGCGGCATGTGGGATCTTCCCCGACCCGGGTACGAACCCGTGTCCCCTGCATCGGCAGGCGGACTCTCAACCACTGCGCCACCAGGGAAGCCCAATCACATTTTCTAATAAATAAAATATGTATGCTTGACTAGAATTTTTATTTGAGAATTGTACAGAATTCCAAAATGGCATAAACTTTGTAGAGACCTTTAAAAAATGTCTAATAAAACTGCCTTTATTTTTTTTCCTTGAAGAAGTACTACTTATGCGGTATCACTTCAATTAAAATGTAACTCCTGAGAGAAAAAGAGTAGAAAGAAGAGAGCACAGTCTTTTATACATTGTGCTGAGAAATACGAGACCTTCCTACATGAAGACTAATCCAGTCAAAATAATTGGCCACTTTTGTGTAAACGCCTGGGAACTCTGAATTTCCGCAGTTCTCACCCCAACTCACAACACCCCAAACATAAGTCACATTGTTGGCGTCCTTACAGACTAAGGGGCCTCCAGAGTCCCCTTTACAGGCATCAATAGAACCATCATCTGTACCTGAGAAAGACCAAGGAAAAAGAAAATCACACATTTACTTCCATTTGTCAAGGCTGCCATGCTGACTTCCTGCCTCTTCCACCAATGCCTGTACTGACACTGACTTTCTTACACTTGCCTAACAGGCAATAACACGTGCGCTCCCTTACAGAGCGGGCCCACGGACTTGTAGAGATGCAGGTTGGGAAATGCTGTGTCTTCTACTCATTCTCCAAGTTTAGCAAGGGCTCCCCCTCCTTCCTCTACTTTGTGGAAGCATATACTATGATGAGATAGCAATCTGAAAGTAGCTTCAAAGGCTGAGTGGGAAAATAATAGAAGGACCTAGTGATCGTTGAGTGCTTAATATGTATTAGTCATTCATTGTTTTAATCCTCACCACAACCCTATGAGAGAAGTA